ATTCAACATTTTTGTTTTTTGCCGACAAAGGAACATAGTGGGGGGTGAATTTTTGTAAATCAACTCCTAAATTAAGATAACCTTGCTTGGCTAATTCGGTCAAGTGTCCGCCCGTAGCAAAAACTTCGTATTCATTCCCTAGAAAAGTTTTAATTGTTTTTTGTTTAGTGTAAGATTCCAGAAAAATCAAGTACTTAGTCATAAGAAATTTTTTATGTCTGCGGCTAAGTTAAAATTCACCCTTGGCGTTATAGTTTATACTCTGCTTTTTTAAAACTTCAAGTTGGTTGTTGCCTCAGCCCAAAATCCAAATTAGCTAAAATCTTCTTTTTTTAAATTACTCACACTGGTTTTAATTAGCAAGACATTTTTATGGTGTTGGTTAACCACCGCCGGATAATAAGGAGCATAGAGTTCCACTTTAAATCACGGATGTTGTATTTGATACTCAATTATACCTTTTAAAATGTTTGGATTATCATCAATTACCACCGCAAAATCGGCAGCATTTTCTTTAATTCAATCGGCTTTATTGGCTCCTTGACTTTCACTATCAAAGCCAATTAATTCCAAAGAACAATTAGCAAATTTATCAAAAGTTGCGGAAAATATTGCTTTTTTGCGCGGGTCTCCGGTGGGAAATTTCCTTTTATCATAAGCCGATAAGAATATTAATTTTTCCACTTTGTCTTCCTTAACTAGTTTCAATAATTCTTTGGCAATAGTCAAAAAGGGTGCTTGGCGGTAGAAATTAGGAGAATTTTTGCTTGTTGATTGTTGATTTAACTTTTCGGGGTCTTTATCGGCTATTAAACTAGAACCATAAGGGGAATAATTAATTAAAGGCTTGTTTTTTTTATCCCAAAAGATTCCAAAGTATTCCGAAAAATCAATTTTCTCCGCAACCGGATTATCTTTTTTTTGTTTTTCATTTAGAAAGGTTAATCATAAAGCATAAGGCTCGTGCGGCTGAATCACTTCATCCCAATCACAAACTATTTTAAGTTTTTTAGGAGTATCTTTGAAATAAGAATAAAGACAGTTTATTATTTTTGCTTGTTGGCTCATATTAAATTTTTTTCTAACTCGTTTTTTGTTTTCTTTATATACTGAAAAACAAACCGGCATAAAAAATACTTATATGGAAATTTCCTTAAACAAAAAAGAAAATAAAAAACGCCAAATAAACAAAAGGGAAGCACTTAAAAGCAAAAGACGGCAAAGTGAAAAAAAAAAATATAAAACTTTAATCAAAAATCTTCGTAAAGCAGTAGAAAATAGTGTTGATTTAACTGATTCAAAAAAATTATTTGAAAAATTACAAAAAAACCCTTGATAAGGCCGCCCAAAAAGGAATTATCCATAAGAATAATGCCCGTCGCCGAAAAAGCAGGATTAGCACAAAGATTAATAAATTAGCGGCAGAAAAGGCCCAACCATTTCCAATTGAAGAGGATTAAAA